AATCAGGGTGAAAACAGTTTTGCATTTTATTATTTACTCATCAATGATATACTCTTTATGCTTAATGTTACGTACTCATAAAATTCATACTCATCAAAATTCAAATATTTTAATTCAATAAAAAATGGAAATCAATTAATTTGCTACTCCGTGAACCCAGTGAAAGTTCGCTCGGCTGAACGAAAGAAATATTCTAGACGCCTGAAAAAGTAGTATTAGCAATTACACGGAGAAGATAAACTGTCTTTCTAGACGATAAGGCGATTTGCAATTTCTTTTAAATAACTTTTTATAGAAGCTTCCTAAAATAGTGAAAAAATGTATGTTTAGGTAGAAATTAGGTAGTAAAGTTAATTATATACTGCTAGCACCTTGAAAAATGTAAAGTGGTCACAGCCAACCTGACATCAGAATGGCTGCCCACTTACTTATTTCTTTAATATTCCCGATAGCGCTAAGGTAGAAAATATGTCACTAAATAGTAGAAAATTGGTAGTAAATAATAAGTAGTTTTTTTATATATCTCGTTTGGTCCAGCCATCCTGACGGACACCGCAATTGGGCTTGTATCTTGGACACCAGCACTATAAAGGCGATTTAGTCATTTAACATTTTTCTTTTTAAATCTATTTTTGACTTTGGATTCAAGTCCTTCGAAATATTAAAGATGATGAATATAGAAAATTATATAAAACAGTAATAGCAAAGAAGTTCTTATCGCTACTAATGCCACCTCTATCATATTGTTTCTTTTATTTAATGATTATCGAGTTCTTAGGTTTTTGCGATTGTTACAATTATAAGAAGTGAAACTATAAATCAAAATGTAAGTCGCGTAGATTACTTTTCCAAACAAACTCGATTTGTTTATAAAAACAAATAAACGCGATTTGGTTACGAAAAAATATTTTCACTTCCTCATTTAGGTTGATTAAAAAAAACGAAAAATAATCCAGTCATCAATTATATTTTTCGTTAAATCAATAATGCACTTCATCACAATCGCTTCATCACAATCGTATAATCTTGATCCGTACACAGAATATACATAGTAAGTACGAGGTATGTACATATAATATTTAAAATAACGCATTTTTTGCTATCACATAACTTTACAATTTTGATTCGAGTTATGAAAACTATGAACGTGCAAAATGGTTCTAAAATGGATTTATTTAACATATAAATTAAATTCTCCATTAGCTTAAAAGTGACAATAATATACGTAAATTTGCAACAGAGTTATAGAAAATTAAAGGACCAATAACTCAAAGAGTCTGCTACAGATCGAACTCCGAAAAGGGTTAAAATCCCGTCTTATATCTAGATAACCTGGAAGTAGTTTATATTACGTAAATGGCCGTGGATATCAATTCATTCGTCTTTAACATGAAATATAAGTGGTTAGTTTTTTCCTTGTAATATTATTCTAATATTGATCATGAGATAAAATTATTTTCTGACCTTTGACAAATATTATGCGTATCAATAGATGGCATTGTGTGTTTCAAACTAATTTACAAATTAACGCTAGCTAATGTGTGCAGATGGCACTAATCCAAAACAAAATGACAATAGCCGGCAGTGCCTTACAAAAAACTGTGCAATTCTTGTTGATTTGTTATCGCTAGAAATTAAGTAGCTTTGATAAATTGCAGCGCGTCAATAAAACAATTAGTTACAATAGCTATTTGGTACTCGACGCTACATCTGGTGTACCAATAGACACTAAATACCTACGCTTGTATCAGTAGTTCTAGTAGCAGTAGAGCTCCTTATGAAAGAGTTCGTCCAGGTTAGTACTGCCACCTTACCTATTTCTGCCGCCAAGCAGTAATGTCAGCATTACTGTGTTCCCGTTTTGAAGGGTAAGGGTGCTGGTGAAATTACAGGCACATGGGACTTGTCAACTTGTCTCAGGGTGATGGGCGCAGTGGCAGTGCCCCTCAAATCTTTTGCGTTTTAAAGCTCTGAGTAGCACTGCAGCTGTTATGGACGTTATTGGTCCATGGCTGTAGGAATCAACCATTGCCATATGATGCTCATGTTGCAATCAAAGATTCTTGATAGTTTAGTCTGTGCTGCGGAGTTCCGTGAAAAGCGGAATAAACATACTTAACAAAAATAACAAATATACAGATTATTATTATACAGCTAATAGTTTTAATTCTAAAATATAAAATTTAAGTAATATACTAACAACCACTACTTTATACACACTAAACAACAGTGAGTACAGAAATAGTAATGTTTAGTACGTAAGCCACCGAAGTACTAACACAGTGGCTAGAAATCTACCTTTGTAAATATAAAGCGATCTTTTAACTTGCTATTTACAAAAATATAAAATCTACAGTTGACTCGATATATATTTTACTTATTTGTAAATAGATTAAGGGCATAACAGTTAGAGCATAGATAAAGTTGCGTCTCACTTGGGGTGCACTCAAACACGGCGACTAATCATAAAAATAACACGATTACTGTGGGATACATATCGTATTGAAGTTGCAAGTATACGCGAGTGGTATATCATACTACTTTGGTTTTTTATATAAACCGTTGTGTCATTGGCTGCCTTCGACCTGTGTGTCTTTACTTTAGAGGCGCACGACTATATACATAGATTATAGTTATAATTCAATTCACAAAATAATTAGCAAAATATACACCAGTAACTGTCCTGGAAATATTATTTACTTAATATTATTATACTTTGCATTCATTAATATGACACAGATTAAACATGCATTTTTTGTCATATTGGTAATAAGACGCTGACTTAGCACATGCCTAAAATCCCGAAATCGTTGGCTTATAGTCAAAATTAATTTTGACAGTTACGGGCATTGTGATCGTTTATATTGGTCGCAAACTCTACGTACACTATCGTAAGTATTAGCCTTGGTTGGTTTTTTAACGTATTTGATTATAAACGGATAGACAGCGGGGTGTTCACACGATATAATTGTTTTCATGCGTATAAAAGACGGATGGCCGCAGTATTCACACAGCAATTGCCCCGAGAACATGTATGTTATGGATCCACGAGTTGTTACACTTTTATATTGGCATAGAAGACGCCAAAGTCTTTGCCGCTAGAAGAACAAAAGGTGTTGGGTGTTGGGGTTTATACAATTGCATAGTTTTGTCCCACAAAATGGGCCTTTGTTCCACTAAAGATATCAATAAATAGCTGTTCCCAGAAGATTCGTTATTTTGTATTAATAAAATTACGCGTACCCTCCTTCCAGAAGACACTTCAATAATAGACGCCGCTTGTTTGGTGAATATTCGAAAAAACGTATGACTTCGCGCCATGTGAAAGAGATGCATTAATACTATGAGCCACTGCACACCGAATTCGTTAAAGTTCATTTGATTTGCTTGACAAGTCCCTTGCGTATTCGATAAACGTATAGAGCTGTGTGCGTTTTTTTTGCAAAACAAACTCCGTGTGAACGGTTCTATATCTACTATATGCGCCACTGTTTATTCGGAAAGATTTATACTGCAAAAAAACGTGCAGTACAATGCCGTGTGAACGGGGGGTTAGACAGCTAGTACTATCATGTAGTAGTCTGTACCAAGAATGGTTAACGTGACAGCTTGTGTACATATAAAGAGTAATACAGTTATTGGAAGCTACACTTATAACGGAATGGAAGCTAATTTTTATAATAGAATGAGCTTTATGTTAATTGTGTATATAATTGTGTTATAAACTTCATTATGCTATGTATAGTTTCGTTACAAAAATTCGTATTCATTCCGTGCCGGAGCAATGTACATTGGGCCTTACAAGTTGTCAGTATAATATGTCAATGCCAGCGAGAGATAGCACAATACCGAAGAGAGTGGCATAATCTCTTTTAGGACGCTCAGACTTATTTTGGTTTTTTTGAGCAGAGTAAGTAACAACGTTTCCAACATATTGCATTTCGAAGAAGATTAATTTCGATGCGTGTGGATTTTGGACATAATAACGCTCACAATCAACATAGCCCCGCACTAGGGAAACCCTGTGTCGCGGGTGCCATGGACACACACATAGACAACCACAAATTACACCCAAACTCACGAGAGAAATAAATGTAGGCCATACAAATATTTCTCCCGGCCCGGGAATCGAACCTGGGACCTCTGCGTGGCAGTCCGGCATGGTAACCGTTCGGCCACGGAGGCAGTTAATATAATATAAATAATAAGGACATAAAATAAATTAAAAAAAAATAAAATAAATCATAATCATAAAATAAACTCCAATCAGTTCAGGCAATGAGCAGCATAAAAGAGGGTCTGTCGTTGGACATCATATCTTGTCGTTATTTAGTAATAGTTCGGCCCTTAAACGAAATATTCATTTGGGCTACATTTTCCTTCCTTGTTAAAACAATTATAGCTGCCCAATCTAAAGTACGGAAATAAGCTTTAAAATTAATTAAGAATGATATGTATTAGATAATAGGAAATAATTAACAAGTATGCTAAAAAAAAATTGTTTTGCATTCGAGATTGATTACCGGCAGTGTAATAATGCTCATATTTACTGGCTCGTCTAATGTTCAGCAACGTGTGGAATTGATTTTGTACTTCTGGGCGTCTACAACGAGTTTACTAACGACCGCGTAAATTGCTTCACAATGTTGTATGGCAAATTATACAGCGCCCCTAGCGATCACAAGAAACAATATTTTATATATAAACATTTTACGTAGTCGCTAGCGATAACTGTCACTGTAATTTCATGGTAGAGGCACTGTACATTATACAATCGACGCCCTAAAGTTCCTGACCCCCTATACGAGCTTTTGGTTCAAAGACCCTTCTTACGCAATCAACAGAAAAGTGTAAAGGAAGAGTTTTTAGGTTATAATTATTAATGTAATTTAAATCAAATTGGCTAAAAAGTTTATTAAAGAGTCATTCAGTAACGATGCAATAAGGATGTTATATCAAAATGAATTTTACGGTTCACAGGTTAAAGGTTAAGTTTTTTGAACACTTTCCTTTACACTGATCTACTAAGAATTAAATAGTCGGTGAGGAGTCAGGTATTTTGGGGCCGATGCCCCAATCTCGCACAAAAATCAATCTCTCACCATCGTCAGCCAATTCGTGACTATGGCACGCTAGACATTATGCAAGAGACTAGAGATAGCGACTTAGTGAAGTTTAGTGAATATTAACTTTCATTGTGACAAATATGTCATTATGGAAACAAAAATTGATTTTAACGTATACGAAACAGCGATGGACGTGAGAATTTTTTCCATTACGAAAAATGTAATTTAAGCACCGGTTCAGAGGACTCCTACGGCTACTTTTGAATAAAATTCTTGTATTTGTAAGCGGGTCGGCAAAACTCGCGCTCAACGCGGTTCTGACGCTTACTCTCTGAACCTGGCCTGTTGTGGTCACTTTATCTTGAAAAGTTTAACAAAAAGGCAACCGATCGTGTTGCAATAAACAAATTTTTCAACAATAAATGTGGTATATCGAATTCTTAAGTTTTCGCGATTGTTGATGAAACCTTTTTTATCTCGCACAAAGGAAATGATAAATGATTGCATTACTTTCATTACTTTCAAAAAAGGAAGCCACTAAGTTTGACATTTATGGAGTGTGCAATTCTTTGCCGACCTAGGCCCGTCTAAGACATACATTCATTTCTGTCTGCGGCTTTAAGCTTTTACGTATATCTGCTACTGCTAACAAAGAGCTATGTAAACCCAGTAAGAAAAACTGTAATACATTTACTTGCTCACTATCATCAAGTGTTCGTAATAGCGAAAATTTGACGATCTCTGTGGTCAAGTGGCTTGCACACCGGTTTCCATGGTGTCGCCATGTCTGAGGTCCTAGGTTCGATTCCCGGTCGGGTCAATGTAGAACTAATTTTTCTGTATGGTCTCGGGTCTGAGTGTTTGTGGTACCGTTATTGTTTCCGATTTCCATAACAAAAGTGCTTTAGTTTTTTACTTTGGGATCAGAGCAACGTATGTGATGTTGTCAAATATTTATTTATTTATTTTAAAAGCGAAAATTAGAAAAAAAAATTGTCATGTACTGGTGCACGAATATGCTTATTTTAGCAACACAATGGCTTAATATATAGCACAATAATTCATTAATATTAAAAACACGAATTACTTTTAATATTAATGAATTATTCTTAACTTTTTCTATTACATATTTTCCTTCATCCTTTACTTTTTATTATTTCCTAGCATTGTTTGAGAAAAGCGCCAGTACGTTATAAAAAGGAAAATATGTAATAGAAAAAGTTAAGAATAATTCATTAATATTAAAAGCACGAATTACTTTTAACATTAATGAATTATTCTTAACTTTTTCTATCACATATTTTCCTTCATCCTTTACTTCTTTATTATTTTCTCGCGTTGTTTGAGAAAAGCGCCAGTACGTCATAAAATGTACATGAAGAGACTAGATGCGAGAGCAAGAAGTAAAAACAAGTACGTATGTCATGTAAGCCGTAGATAGAGGTCCGCTGGAGCAGACAGGTGTTATAGTTGAAATTTCAATGGTAACGGTCATAGCTACGAAAACAAAGCTATGGTAAGCTTAGGGGATACCGAGCCGGCTAATGGGCGCCGGGCCTAAATGGTATTGACTAGTCAAATTATTTAAATTTTTTCTAATCAATTTTTCCATCAATATCTAATTCACTTTATATGCATAATGGTGTTAACAATTTTAAAACTGTTACAAGAGTCTAAACTACTCTTATTTCAGCTCGGCCGTAGTCAACTTTGAACAGAATACAATACTTGTAACCCTCAATCTATTTCACCTGGATGCAGCAGCGATTTATCGACTAGCGTGCTCGAGAATGTGTCCGCAGTATGGGAAGGGCCCGGTACGGGATCTGGTTGAACAGCTGTGAAATCTTGAGACTCTTCCAAATCGTTTATAGAGTTGACTGAATTCTGATCGCTCAGACTCAGACTTGTGTCAGGATCTTCTCCATAACACCGCCTCTTATGGTCAGATGGAAAATGGTGGTAAGAGTGTTCTACTCGTATTGCTTGCATTGTGTTACTGAAAAGATTTAATGAAGAGTTTAATTCTACTTTAGGAACGGAAAAAGGTACAAAGCATTTTTTCCTAATTGAGTTAAACACAAAATATATTCGAGATCAGAAATAAAAATAAATTGTTTTGTAGAAACTGTTTGTCTCAACTGTTGGACATACAATTAGCCCAAAAGGCATAAGAGGGTAACCTATCACAAAGTCGAAATTTTTTTTTGCCCGAAATAACGTTTGTTTGAATTTTCATTACACCGAAAACGGAATTATAATGAAACAGTTGTTCTTTCAAGATATGTTGAATGTTTATCGCAAAAACACGATTAGGTTCGGTTGGGTAAGAAAATACATTTTCCTCTCAAAATTACTTTCGAGGTTATGAAATTTCGACCAAACGTTATTTCTGGAAAATGTCATTTCGGACTACTGACAGGTAACCGCATAAGTGACATCAATGGCGTGACAAAAAAACGCGTGCGTTCCTCAACTTGACGTTGGCGAAATCATCGATTACTTCGACGGGGCCATACCATTTAAAAGAAGAAGAATGACGTACCCTTAGAACGAATAAGGTAAAACTATAGTATGAACCATAATTAGATGTCTAAACTGTAAACAAAGGGGATAGCGGAGCTAAAAAATACATTTTAAACGGTAGTTTCCTATTTTTGACGATAATAAACTTTTAGAACTCTTTTTAAACTGTCATCTGATAAAACTTAGAACAATTCACATTTTGCAATAAACGTTTTTACTTAATTATATTTAATAGAATAATTATTATAATAAAATACTTTGTGTAAGGTCGTAAATATTTTTACGACACTGGTAATACAATCGGGATCTAACATATTGTTTGTGCCGCCATTACGTCTGTCCTAGATGTCATTCGTGCTTCGCGTCTCGAACTGGAATGTTTTCTTTTCTTCGTAATGCGTTAGTTAAATTATTGTGTTGTTATTAAAGTTAATTAAAAGTTGTAATAGATAAGTCAAATTGTAGAAAATGAGAACTTCCTCTTCCAATTTTGTTAAAAACAGAAAGTTTAGCACCTGTATTCATACTTTGATGATGAATTGATGACATTTCTTTGTTTACATTTTGGACAATGATTCATACTACTTATAAAATTTTTATTAAAATTGAGTTATATAAATATTCGAAATCAGGAAAAAAAGAATTCTATTAGGTATATTCAACATAACTAATTCTTAGTAGAAAAAACGTTTGGACCTTGCGTTGTTAGAATAACTAACCACAATGCATACTTTCGACAGAAATATATTCGGTATTGTTTTAATAAAAATATGAAGGCTATACCTGGTATATTTAAATTAAGGTTTTACTTTTCGGGAAATGGACTTGGTATGGAACTAGTAAGTATAAAAGATGGTATTACCTTGTTTTTTTCAGTACAGGTCTTCCCATTTCCACTTTCAATTCCAAGGAATACAATTTGGCTAGTGATTCCAATTTTTCTTTTTCATCAGGGTCGTTCAATGTGGGCAATTTAAGTTCTGTCTGGCAAGAGTCTTGCAGAAATTTAGAAAGCTGTTCATTCGCTGCACTTAGTATGAGGAAGCCGGGTCGTTCATCTCGTATACGCCGACACCCAGCTCGTATTTCTCTGATTTCATTCAATCCCGCAGTACCCATTGAGTGTTCGCTGCAATAGTGATCACTCTGAGGAGACTTCTCACTCACATTTAAGTCGCTTGATGACGTTTTCTGTAAAGAGAAATTAGTACGCGGCGTCTGATTAAACTGTTCATTTTTCTGCTCTTTCTCTTGAAATGCCTGAAAGGACTGAAAAAACGATTCGTTCGCATTCTGACCTGCTACGCCCGCGTTTTTTATATCGCTAAAACTTGCAAATGAAGAATGTGGTTGCAGTATGTCTTTGTTTTCTTTCAATAAAGCCTCTTCTTCCAAGTCGACCACGGTTTTTGAATCTGACATCATGGCATCGTCTTCATTTCCAGACTCGACTTTGGGTCTTTTTTTCTTAAATTTGTTCTTACAGCTCGCCCAGCCGCTTTTGACAAGAAATTTTTCTTTTTTTAACCGTTTTGGAGGTGGCATGTTGTTGAGAGACTGCGGGGAATTGTTGTTGATAGATTTCGAGGATTTGAACGTGAGACTTTTATTGAAGACTTTCAGTTCTTCTATTCCAGGCCAGTCGGTGAGTTCGTCGTCGCCTTCTCTGTCACTGTCATTGGTTACCACCCCGTCTGAATCACTACTGCTCAATGAACTTGATTCATTACCTACACAGTCCATACCGCTGTTTGAATCGTCAAAGTGTAAAGGATTTCGTAAAGAGTTAGATGGATAAGTCTTATTTAACACTTTTAATTTCCTGTGATATCTTCCATCGCTATTTTTCCCCGTACTCGTTGTAGGGTTGAAGAAAGGCGGTAGATCAGTTGTAACTTTGTATCCTGTTAGTTTTGACAAAGTTGGAGTTTTGGAAGAATGTTTGTATACAAAGTTGAAACTGGAACTGCCAGGCAGTGACGGCGTATTTGTGAAAGTAGATGGCTTAACGCCTTCAGTGTTTTGTGATTTAAGGACTATTTTACCTGGTTGTAAGACTAAGTCTTTTCTCTTTTTCTCCAAGTCGTGTTTTTTTGCCTTAAAGTCACTTTTAGCAAAGAATGCTGATTTTGATGAGCAGCCTCCACTGAAGGATCTTTCTCTCATTTCACACATATCACTCTTGTCTCTGTGTGACCACTTCCTCTTACCGCAGAAAGAATTTCTGAAAATTCGCAAACAGATAAATTCTAGTGAAGTCATTGAAAATATATTTTATATTCCTAGTGTAATTTACAAACCTTTCCTGCTTCACATGTGGTTTATATTTCATATGTATTAAAGGTGGAAAGCTCTGACCCTGTAGCAAGATAGTCGACGGTGTTGAAGCCTAAAACCAAGGTTATTGTGAAGAAAATGTACTCAAACAGTGAAAATATACCAAATATTTCCTCAAATATTTAAAAGTTTACTTTATTTAATAAAAATTAAATGCTTCTTTAATCCTTTGGAATTATTTATGTTACCCTGCAACATTACGATAATTATTTTAATTCACTCCTAGTCCCGTACTTCTATAGTATAAATTAATTAATCATACACTTGTGAAACAATCCAGAAAATATTTCATACCTCTGTAGTTATACTGAGTATCTCAACAGGTGGGGACCGTTTGCCATCAAGATATTCAACTGGCATCTTTTTAAATTTGCGTTTCCTCCTAGCATTGGCAGGTCGAGTTGGAGAAAAATTTTCGTTAAAAGAGTCTGACTCAAAGTTGCCAATCTGGCAGTACTGTCTAGATTTTATGGATTTATTGATACTCAGATGAGGATCATCCGAATCTGAGAGTGGCTGTGTGATGAGGGGAGCCTGTGGAGGGCTGCTGGAGCTCCCATCTTCCACTAGACTGACTGCCACGGCTGCTGCTGTAAAAAACATTATATTTCGTTATTACGGAGTTTACTCTGGAGAAATAACATTTTTATCTGGTGGACAGTAGTATCATGCATGTTTGGACAGTAGTATCATGCCGTGAATGTCTTACTTATTACCTACAAGTTTTTGAAGGCATGTAACCATCGAGATGTAACCAGAAATAGAGACGAAATAAGGGTCATATATTCCTGGTAACACATTAGTGATACAGCTCTTATAAATATCAACTCTCGTTTGCACTGAAATATAGACAGGCCAACTACTGACCTGTGTGTACGTCTCCGTATATTCCAAAAAATATTCTGTATTTATTGTAATAAAGATAATATCTCTAACAATGGCCGTGCTGTCTATTCGGTGGTGTAGGAAAAACAGCAAAACATCTAATTACAAAACAAACAGAATCACATTTCATCGGTAATTAAATATGTAATTTTGCAATTTTCACCCATTATGGCAAAGCTCAAGTTAACTGGTCGATTTGAAGTGAAACAGTTGACGACACCCGTCAATTGTTTCGAACTCGGGCTAGCCAATCGGAGCGCAGTTGTCACCAGTTGTCACAGTAATTTTATGACAGAATAGTTTTCAAACAAATTAAATGACATTCGTCTCTATTTCTAGTTATATACTTGATGCATGTAACCAATAGATTAATATTTCACACCCTTAGCACACGTGTTTAATAGGGGGAAAATGTACAGAATATTGCAGCAGATTATACTTTTTTTTCTATCCATTATATTAAAAATGTTATGAAACGGGTCATTAACCTAGCTATATATTTGGCTTAGTGCTCAGGCTTAGTGATGGCCAATGGTACTGCCAATAACAAATCAATTAATTGAATGATTTGATTTGTTTAATGGAATAAGTTGGAATAACTGTATTTTTTTGAGGTTTTGCTGCGAATTACCACCAAAAAATACGTGATACTGAGTGATGATATTTTATGGACAGTATATATACCTTCTTCAACTATCATAACAATAGATGGTAGAAGGCGGAGTAGGATAATGAAAAAAAGGTT